GGTAAGACACCTAAAAAACTAGCTAGCATTTGTTGCCCTTAACGCAGAGAAACTAAAGCAGATACCTTAAAAGCAACTGAGGCCAATAGGAAAAGGGGACCAGGAACTAGAGAAAAGGTGAGATCAAAAAGAATTAACCTAGAAGGTAACACACATGCACAGGAAATCAATGTGAGTCAATGCCCTGTATAGCTATCCTTATCTCAACCAGCAAAAACCCTTGTTCCTTCCTATTATTGCTTATACTCTCTCTACAACAAAATTAGAAATAAGGGCAAAATAGTTTCTGCTGGGTATTGAGGGGGTAGGGAGAGGGAGGGGGCGGAGTGGGTGGTAAGGGAGGGGGTGGGGGCAGGGGGGAGAAATGACCCAAACCTTGTATGCACATATGAATAATAAAATAAAAAAAAAAAAGACATTCAAGTATCAGTAACCATCATAAATAATCATGGATACTTAAAAAGAAGGGTTCATAGTGACACTCAAAAGACAAACAGTTCTAATATAAACTGGTAAATATAATTTTTAGTGCCTGATTGATTTAGCAACCAGGTGTTTTGACATGTCTGCTTATGAAGTACAGATTAAGCCGGGTGCCGGTGGCTCATGCCTGTAATCCCAGCTACTCAGGAGGCAGAGATCAGGAGGATTACGGTTTGAAGTCAGACCCTATCCTGAAAAATCCTTTCCAAAAATAGGGCTGGTGGAGTGGCTCAAGGTGAAGGCCCTGAGTTTAAGCCCCAGTACTGCAAAAAAAAAAAAAAAAGTACAGATTATATTCTTGTAACTATATGTACAAACAGGAAGCAAAAGGATAAAACTGGTAGGAGCCAGCCAGGCATGCTATTACATTCCTGTAATCCCAGCACTCAGAATGCAGGAGGATCACAACTTTGAGGTCAGAGTAGGGTACACAGCAAGATCCTGTCTCAAACAAAAAAAGGATCATCCACAGGAACAAAGAACACATAAAGAAGTAACGGTCAATGTGATAGAGAATTTAGTGTTCTCAAAGGAAGGAAAACAGAGAAGAGTAAGACTGGGGAATGGCAATACTGCATTACTTGACTCTGGAGTGCTAGCTCTTGTAAATGTGCATTAGAATTAGTGGTGGCAAAAAAAAAAAAAAGACGAAAACTAAGATTTAGAAAATACAGAACGGAATACTAGTATATTCACCTCCCCATCCTTATTACTTATTCTAAAAAATTCCAGTAGAAGAGAGTAATAAATTACAAAGAAAAGGGGAAGATAACTGTAGAAGAGGGGTATTCATGAATATTTTGGAATTTAGAAGATGGCCTGACAAATTCTAACTGACCTAGTAGAGTTGGGGAAATTACAACCCAAGAGCCTGTTGGAAGGAATACAAGAAAAAAGCTTATTATTTATTCCCATGAATTTTAGCACTTGGGTAAATCTGAAACCAGAGGGATCAGGTAAGCCAACTACAGGGCAGAAAACGAAGGTGAAATTAACTGGAATCCTCCAACTATTACTGAGATAATGGACCCAGGTCTTCCCTTCTCCACACTACAGGGTAGCTGACTTACCTCTCCCTAGAAAACTGGAGGTTAATTCTCTGTGGAAATTGAATTGGAAAGACTCTGGGCCTGAGACAGAGAGAACAGAGCCAGACTAAGACAAGGGAGCTAAAACAAGCCTACATTGGAAACTATGAGACTTTCAGCCCCCTTACAAAGTGCTATGGTTTAAATGCTTGAACCCACCAATCAAGTGTAAGACAGTGGCATATCCAGACACCTAAAATCTATAAATAATTTAGCTCTCACTGGCCCTATGTTTGGAAGCCATTAGATTTCCTTCAGCATTTAGAGAGAGTAATTAAGAGGGAACCAAAGGGGAGTAAGGGAGGGAGACAGAGGGAGGTGGGGGGGGAAGAGGGGAGAAATGGCCCAAACAATGTATGCATATATGAATAAATGAACAACAAAAAAAAGGGAACCAAAAGATTTAAGAAATAAGAAACCCCAAAGAATAGAAATGATAAGTCATAGGATGATTGCAGGTGAGCCTTAGGACTGTAGCTGAACATCCTAGAAGCAACTAGTTCAGTGGAGCAGGATGATAAAGGGGTACTACAAGCAACGATCACCTAAGTAAAGTGACGAACAGAAGTCTGTTATTTCATATAACCACAGTTAAGTTGGTAACTACAACTACAAGGTTAGTTATTAATCCTTGATGATGTTAAAGAGTCTCGAGTTTATTATTCCGAAATTATTTTTCCTTTCCTCAAGTGAAAAGAAGGCAGATGTAGCAACAAATTTCATGTTCAATCTAGTAAAAACCAAGGAAGAGAATTTCTCTTTTAAGTTTCCTTCCACAGAGAGAAAAATCATATCCAGCAGTCCCATGCCATCATTTTTCTTGGGTTCCACTGGTCAGATGGCCACTTCAAGGAAAACTTTATTATAACATATGATGATAGTGTTTTCTTCCCCTTTTTCTACACAGTAAGCATATATGCCAAACTTTAAGTCCCCAGGTCACGACCTCTAGGCTGCTGGACTAAATAAACAAATGAGAGTAGATACTGGAGCTGGGTTGTGGGTTTTACCCTATCCTTCCTGCTTAGTGTAACTTTGGTCAAGTTACTTTACTTCTATGTATCTCTTTCTTTATACTTATGTAAAGTAGGGATAACAATTTTATCTACTCAAAAAGTTATTAAATGTTTGCAAATACTTAAAAAAAACTGTGCCTGACATGTAGTACTATGCTAAGTACTATGTGCAAAACAAAAATGTTTTAAATGCCTAAAACTTGAGCCTTGAGGCTGGGGACATGGCTTAAGTGGTAGAGCATTTGCAGGAAGCCCTAAGTCTTGAAAAATCCATGTAGGCAGCTCCATGAAATCCCAGAGATCTACATGTGCCAGTCTTATGAGCTTTTATCTTATATACAGGGAAAAAGGAAAATATTACAAAACTACCCTAAAAACAAAAACAAAAAAACCCTTTCTAGTTAGGGATAGTGTACATGCCTGTAATCCCAGCACTTGAAAGGTGGAGGCAGGAGGATTCTTAGCAAGATCCAGGTCAGCTTGGGACACACAGCGAAAACCTGTCTCAAAAAATAAAGTAATAATAATAACAGCAATAATTTCCTTCTTGGAGGGTCTCAGTATAGAATGTCATGTACAATCAGATGAATCCCAGAAAGATATAAAACAAAAAAACAAAAAAACTCTGACACTCTTAAGTTTGGGCTTAAGAACCTACTTACAAGCCCAGCATCACAGTTATTATTCAGCATCCCTCTCAAATGCCACTGTGGTTGCTATGTAAGGGAGCATTAGAGCTAACGTAAGAAAACTACCTAAACTAACTTCTAGAATTTGGGGTTAGATTAGGTAACTAAATTTAGTCCCAAGCTTACAACATCCTTAAAATTCAGCATGATGGGATAATGAATAATCAACTTTTTTTCCTCTCCCGTTATTTGCCTGTGCCCCTCCTTGAGAGATGATTAGGTCAAAGCAATAGTCTAGTATTCCTGAGTTCCCTGACCAAAATGCCATCTACATACTATCCTAGTATCAGCCCAGTTACATCACATCAAGATTTTGAACTTAAAAGTTTACCTACAGCATTTGTAAAAGTAGTGTCAAATTTTGAATTCTTATTTCCATAGGAAGAGTAATAGAATGGTATAGGAAAAGAATAGAATATGTGAGTTGTATTTTGAATGTAATCCCAGCACTAGGGAGGCAAAGACAGGAGGATCTGGAGTACAAAGCTAGCTTGAGCTGAATAGGGAGATACTGTTTCAAAAAACCTAGGGCTAGTTGCTGGGCATGGCAGCACATGCCTGAAATCTCAGCATGTGGAAAGCTGAGACAGGAAGATCACAAGTTGGAGGGCAGCCTGGGCTTCTGGGCTACACAGGGAAATTCTGACTCAAAAACCCAACCAACCAACCAACCAAAACTCAAAACTTTGTTACTGTTATTTAACAGGACATAATTATATACAGCCTACTTATGCTCTGGGATATACTTCATCTGTAAGTGGGAGGATCCTGACTTACTTGTGCCAAAGCACAACAAGGCTTCATGTGAGGAAATTGGTGTGCGTTCCTCACCACTAGAGAGCCAGTGTCTAAGAGAAAGCAGGTGTTCAAAAAAGATCCATTAAACAAATTCATTCCCTTGTTGATCATGAGGAAAGATCAGTACTGAGTAAAGGAAGACTGAATTTCGCCTGGATTTGTCAAAGTGTTTAAGCAGTGCTGGGAATCAAGTGCAGGACCTTACAATATGAAAGTATGTATATATTCTTTCTTTTTTTGATGGTACTAGGGTTTGAACTCAGGGCCTCACATTTGCTATGCTTGCTACAGGCGCTCTACTACTTAAGCCACTCCACCAGACCCTTAAGTTTAAGCTATGAAATGGAAATATAATGGAGGGTAAGCATGTTCAAGATACACTATATGCATGTACAGAATTACCACAATGAAATCCCCTATTATTGTTTACTAGTTCAAAAATAAAATTTCAAAATGCTGATTATAAGATTTAAAAAGTGACATGAAATGGTTTTTCTGCTTAAATACACACTAAAAGCTAGGTGCATGGTGTGTACCAATCATTCCAAGCTATGTGGGAGGCAGAGATCAGGAAGATTGTGGCTCCAGGCCGGCCTGGGCAAAAAAGTTTAGAACGATCTCAATGGAAAAAAGCTGGGTGTGGTGGTGCCTTGTCATCCCAGTGATGGTGGGAAGCATAAAACAGGAGGATCACGGTTCAGGCCAACCTAGGCAAAAAGCAAGACCCTATCTTGCAAAAAGGGACTGCAGGTGTGGCTCAAATGGTAGAGTGCCTGCCTACCAAATGCGCGGCCTTAAGTTCAAACCCTAGCACCACCAAACAACAAACAACAAAAACCAAAACAGCCACATTGGAACAAAAAGATTTCAATAACCAAAGTAACTACAAAAAAATAAACAAATTAACTTTATTAAGTTACCACTTCAGTCTTTGCATTGATTTGTTTAAAAAAATACCAGTTTGGAATATATTATTGAAAGTGAGTACACACAATAAATAGAATATAGGTATGCATAATGCTGGAGACGTATCAACCAATTTATCTTCATCTGCTGCCTACTGTGGTAGGCAAAATTTGACACATGATTAGCATTATGGGAAAAGCAGCCAAAGTACCTGGGAGAATCCTGTAAACTATTGGAAATGTGGCTTAAAGCTCTGGACCACTTACCAAAAAACAAACAACAACAAAAACCAACAACAAAACTTGCTGTTTATCTAGGAACTGACTTCACTATGGCACTGAATTATCTATTACTACCCATAAGAACAATTTAAAATACCAAAAGTGCCAAGGAACCTTCATTAACAGTTACATCATAGTTTTAACTTTAAATATATGATCATTACTCAAACATCCTAAGCCATACAGCAGGCCCTACAACAATAAGTTACAAATACTCGAACTTAATAACTTAAACATGATATAGTTACTGTAACATATACTGTGTATCTCAACCCTTTTCAGGTAAGATAATAATTAAAAGGTAAATTTACAGTTCAATTTCTGCTCTTCTGCATGATGTCATCTCCTTCTTATAAATGCAGAACCTGTGAATATATACATTAGTTTGAATTACATTTGATTGGACAAATAATTCTACATACAAGAAGGTATTCTATGTGCAAATTTTCTTTCTTTTTTCTATGTGCAAATTTTCAATGGAGCAGGTTTATAATCAAAAATGTGTTCTGACTTCTGAAAACGAATTATGAAAGCATTTCCTAAAAGCGAACAAACTAAAATTAGAAGTGGGTGACATCAGTTCTTTCTTCCTTATGTATGATGAACTTCATGAAGCATTAATTCCCGAGGTATGTTGGTTTCTGGACCATACAGCTTACATGCTCTTCTTTCAAAGGCAGCTACCATCTGCTTTACAACTTCATCAAAAAATAATGTGGCAAGTTGAGAGTGTAGAAGTGAGCGGAATTCAAAAGAAATCTGTAGAAAAATAATTAAGAATTATTTTGGAAAGATCTTTCTTTTTCTCAATTTCCACTTAGGACAGTGTTCACACAGTGAACTGGTCATCTAAGGTGGAGCTGTGTGGGTACATCTGAGATTTCAGCACTCATCAGAAGAGATCTTCTTTACAACAATGAGCACAACAAATGTTGACAATAAGCTTAAGTAAACCAGGCCAAAGAATCTCATTTCAGGGCAAAGAGCCTGATTCTTAGAAATTAGCAATGACTAGAAAAGCTATGCTAAATACCACATTTATCATGCTGGTTTCCTATTAATGTACATGTTTTAGATCCATCCTACTACATAAAATAAGGAAGGGAAGTGATAGTTTTCAGAGCCATCACTGTTAAAATTAGTAACAGCAGGAAGATGAGGTTGCCTTGTGCATGCCTCACCTACAAAGCAAATAGGGTATGTGGTTAAATCTTAAAAAGTAACCAGTTATTTAGGACTTTATTTATGCCCCCTCCTTGTTCTAGATAGAATTCAAGGCAATTGCTTTGAGAATTTTTTTTTAATGGGACTCGGGTTTGTACTTGCAAAGCAGGCACTCTACCCCTTGAGCCATACTTCCAGTCCATTTTTCTCTGGTTATTTTGGACAGAGGGTCTTTTGAACTATTTGCCTGGGTTGGCCTCAAGCCACAATCCTCCGCATCTCAGCCTCCCAGGTAGTTCCTGATCTCAGCCTCCCAACTAGTTAGGATGATAGGTGTGAGCCACTGGCGCCCAGCTCAGAAATAATCTTTTAAGGACCAAATATCCATGAATTTTAAAATGTTTGAACTTTCTATCTTTTTTTTGCAGTACTGGGCTTAGAACTCAGGGCCTCATGCTTGCTAGACAGGCCCTCTACCAGTTGAGTCACTCCACCAGCCCAGTTTTAAGTTTTCTATAGCTAAAATTAAGTAAGAAAATTATGAATTTCTAGATTCTAAGATAGTCCTCCCTTTTATTTCTGCATTTAACATACAATGTATAGATTTAATTTGTTGCTAATTTCAAACCGTTACAAAGTTTAAATGTTTTTACCTAATATTAAGTTGGTGCAAAAATTATGGCATGTATCTTTTTTTTTGGTAGTGCTGGGGATCAAACCTAGGCTTTGCATGTGCAAGGCAAGCACTCTACCACTGAGTCTACATCCCCAGTGCAGGCCATGTCTTGCAATCTATGTATCTGTAAAAAGCAGAAAAGGGGAAAGGAATGAATATTCAATCTTACAGAAAAAGAAATAAATGCTCATTAGCATTGGTGTGGAAAAAAGTATTTGCTACTTTTGCTACTCAGAAATTTGACAATTTTAAATAAAGTATGTGTCAATAATTTTTAGGCATATTAAGATTATAGTTCTGGGTTCTAAAATATGAATAATTAGCCAGGTATGGTGGTACACACTTGTAATCCCAGCACTCAGGAGGCTGAGGCAAGAGGATAGTAAGTTTGAGGTCAGCCTGTGTTAAGCAGTGAGACCCTGTCTCAAAAATAAACAAACAGGGCTGGCAGAGTGGGTCAAGTGGTGGAGGGTCTGCCTAGCAAGTGTAAAGCCCTGAGTTCAAACCCCAGTAGCACTGAAAATACAATTTTAACAAATAAAATAAATAAATAAATAAATAGCAAGACCCTTTCTTCTTTTGGCAGTACTGGGGTTTGAACTCAGGGCATCACACTTGCTAGGCAGGTGCTGTACCACTTGAGCCATTCTGCCAGCCCAGCAAGACCATTTCTCATGAAAAAGTAACATAAAAACAGATTATTAGTCAGGCACCAGTGACTCATGCCTGTAATCCTAGCTACCCAGGAGGCAGAGATCAGGAGGATTGTGGTTCCAGGTCAGCGTAGGACAAACAGTTCTTGAGACCCTATCTCGAAATTACCCACCACAGAAAAAATGACTGTCAGAGTGGCTCACATGTTAGAGCACCTGCCTAGCAAGCATGAGGCCCTGAGTTCAGACCCCAATACTACAAAAAACTAAATAATAAAAATAAAAAACAGATTATTGTTTCTTATGAACTTCACTTTATATGTGAAACAAATCAAGGACTTTATGAGAGACTTACTGAAAAATCCAAGGTACAAGTTCTTGGGTAGCCAGGAAGACCTGGGCTAAAACGCCAAATAGTCTCCAAATGATTGAAAAGTCTCCCGTCCGTACAGGATGCCTAGAGCAAAATGAGAAAGTAAAACTTCAGTTAAATATCTTTGGCATTAGCAAGAATCTATCATAACTGAGGCTTAGTTCTTATATCACACTACAAGAGGTAAAAGGTATCTAACTGCTTGGTAATCTCTTACCAAAATGGGCCATTTTCTTTTCAATCTTAGCCATTTCACCAAGATTGCCAGTTATTCCCTTTTCCACTGGCTACTCAGATTTCTCTCCTCTAGCAGTACAACAAGGAGCAATTTTTTAGAAGCTTATTTCTAGTTCTGCTTATAAGTGATTCTGAACAAGTTAAATTCCTGTACAATATTTCCTTAAGCTGCAAAATAATATCTATTTTATACTATCACTATGAAATGGCTGAAATGCTTGTAAAGTATCTGCTACAGATCTCCAGGGCAATTTGTAATTCTCTTCTACCCAAACCAGTTAACCACACTTAGTCTTGCCTTCACTCTTACTCCTCTATCCACTTCAACTGAAAGTCTGGTTCTAATCCTTGGCCTTGATTCATTTCTTTCTGACTTATTCAGTCCACATCTATTTTATATATGTGCATGTAAACCCTGAAATATAAAGCTCTGCCATACCATACGCAGTGCATCTTGAGAGTTCCAAAACTGCCTATCATTAAAAAATTCAAAAATGCTGATTGAGACCCTCAAAAGAATTGTCATCTGCAATGTGAAAAGTGGTTATGACCTTGACTGAAATTCAGCATCACTGCCTAGGACTCTTATGTGTCATCTGGGCATAATTACACTAGTAGACAACTGACCTCAAGAGTATGTATCACCTTGTCTCAGCAGTACAAACTAAAAAATTTGTTTCCAAGTTTACAACTTTCTGCTTAGTTAAGCCTCAGCACCTGGGCTGGGGACATGGCTCAAGCAGTAGAATGCCTGCATGGCAAATGAGAAGTCCTGAATTCAAGTCCCATTACCACCAAAAAAATAAGTTTTTCAGATCTTTAGGCATATCCTAAGACTAATAAATGATTAAGTCTCTCTATTCCTTTTTCCTCTTTTTTTATTTTTTCTTTTCTTTTTTAATGCTGGGGATCAAACACAGGGCCTAGAACCCAGGGCCTCGCAAATGCTAGGTGTCAGAAACTGTCTTCTGACCTTGTACTGAAATTCCTCGTGCGGGCCATGGATCACAAACTTTGAAACATTTTACACTGCACAGCCCATACAGACAAGCCTGGGAACATTTTGCACTGCCCAGCCCACATGGGCAACCTTGAAACATGCTGCATTCCCAATCCTCCCACCTTTGTTCCTGCCTCTGCCTTGGCTTTAAAAATGCAGCCTAGCCCTCGCTCAGTGTGCTCTCACACTCTCACCCCTGGAGATTACCAGATGCCCTTCCATCTTGCTAAAAAGTGTGATTCAACTCCATTAAGGTCTCTGTTCTTCTTTCCAGCCTTTTCCTAACATTAGGCAAGCACTCTAACACTGAGCTACATTCAAGCCCTCCTTTTTCTCTTTAATTACTTATTCACCAGAAGAGTTTACAATGTCCTTCCCTATAATCACTACAAACATACATTACTAAAACAGAGCTTGCATTGGTAAACTACTTTCCAAGTACAATAGTCACTTTTCCTTAGCTATACCCTCCCTAAACACAGAACACAGAGCCAGTTCTGACTAAACTCTACATTTCTCCACAGATAGCTCAAATTAGGACCCAAAGAACATAAAAATATATTTGCAGTTTTGTTATAACATCTTCATCTAAACCCTTTTGTATCAATTGCCAGCCAAAAACATGGTCTAACCTTATTATAAAGGTCAACTGCACCCATACTAAAAGGCATTTGTATTACAAATGCTGTATTTACAGGTTTATAAAGAGAAAACATAGGTGGTAGCCAGTAACTCATGCCTGTAATCCTAGCTAGTCAGAAGGCAGAGATCAGGACAATCATGGTTTGAAGCCAGCCCTGAGAAATAGTTCAAAACACCTATCTTAAAAATACCCAACATGAAAAAGGGCTGCTGGAGTGGAGTGACTCAAGTGGTAGAGTACTTGCCTAGCAAGCATAAGGCTCTGAGTTCAAACCCCAGTGCTGCCAAAAAAAACCACAACAAAAAAACATTTTAAAAATGGAAACCAGTAAATGTTAAAAAAAAAAATTAGACCTAATAGTCATTAAAATACCAACTACTTTAATAGCTAAATTTAGTATAGTATGCTAAGTAAGCCACACTAGGAAGAAGCAAAAATTTTGTTCAAAATGTTTGGCACATACATAGTTCGTCAAAATGTTTATATACACATGTGTGTACATATATATGTGTACATATATGTACACATGTGTATGTATGTACACATATGTATACATATGTGTGCATATATACACATATATATACACAATTATTAATATTATTCTATCCTATTCTATCCTATTTCATTTCAGTGGTGGAGATTGAACCCAGGGTCTAACACATGCTAAGCAAGGCGATTTTTAATTTTACAGTAACATAAGAAGCTTAGAGGAAATTTAACACTGAAGGAGACTTAGCCCTTGGACATACTATAAAACCTCCCTCTATTTTTACACAAAATGCGGTAGTGCTGCACTCACATGGATAATCTAGCCCGAGGATGAATGGATTTTTTTTTCTCCCTAGTATGCTTTGGCAGGAACAATATTGCCAAAGACTCATTCCTAAGAGCAGAGTAGAAGCTGTTATGGTAATGACCTTCTACTGCTTGTTCTGGATGAACTATAGGTTAGCAATAAGCTAACCTACATAAAGTGTTTATACTGTTAACCAGGCAGTTAAGATTCATTGAACTGTGCCTCTAACCATTATAGACCAATGTAGATGAGAACTACTGACACAGTAAGTCAGAGACACATTTTGGGCAGGTAATTCAAAGAAAATGTCACATGGCTCCCATTGTTTTCTTGGCTATAATTATTTTTATTGTATGATATAGCTGTGCATTAGTTGTTATTAGTTATTAAAATGCAGAACCTGGACTCAGGGACAACCTAAAGCTGAGCTTATGTAGTTCTGTGTTATTCTCAATTATTCCTCTAAACAAAGTAGCTTATTAAGTGAGGCAGATTATACTAGAAAAAGTCATGGAATTAAGACACATACAATATGAATTTATTTAAAGTTCTTAATCTCCTCAAGGTTCATAAAACTGAGATAGCAATAATCACCTAATCGAAGTTCCCTCCCCTGCCACACAGAGATAGGGTCAGCTTGTTGTCCAGTTTGGCCCTGAACTCCTGGGCTCAAGTGATCCTCTGCCTCAGCCTCCCAAATAGTTGGCACGACAGGTACATACCACTGTACTCAGCTAATATAGGTTATTCTGATGATTTTCCCCCTAATAGTTTCTTCTCCACTCAGCAGTGCTGAAAAGTTACTCTGAGATTATTGTGGATATCTCTATCTTCAATAGCCCAAGAATATAGGTAGTGAGAGTATGACTATGACTCCCACAGAGCTGAAAATACAGAGATGAAAAAGAAGGGCTCCCTTTCCTCATGTGACTCAACCTTGTCAAGGAATAATTCAGTTGAAAAAATACATTGCAGAGTAGTACAAGAAAGTATGTACAAAGCCCAGAAGAATCACTAAGTAGAACTGATTATCTACATGAAAAGAAAGAGAAAAAAACTGAAGGGTACAACACTTGCCTAATCATGCACCAGGCCCGGGGTTTAATCCCCAGCACCCTAAGAGCCACTGTAATGGTTAAAAAGTCCAAAACTATGAGACAAAAAGAGTTAAAAACATCCCCAAGTGGGGCACAGCCTTTTAAGTGGACTTTAATTGTGCATGTGTGTGTGTATATATATATATATATATATATATATATATATATACACATACACATATATATATATATATTTTTTTTTTTTTTTGCAGGATGGGGTTTTAATTCAGTTTCACATTTACAAAGCAGGTGCTTTACCACTTGAGCCACACCTCCAATCCATTTTGCTTTGATTATTTTGGAGATAGAGTGTCACCAACTGTTTGCCCAGGATGGCTTTGAAACCTCAATCCTCCTGATCTCAGCCTCCCAAGTAGCAAGAATTACAGGTGTGAGCCACCAACACCAGTGAGTTTAAATTTTCAGAGTGAATGTAAGGTAGATTCCAGGATCTCAGCATCACCAGACATTACACTTTTTATGGATTTTGTACCAGAAAGGGTGTATCTGAAAGTTCAACCAAGAACTGACTTTGGCCTGAAGCTCTGGCCAATTACCAAGAAATGATACCAATAGTAAATCCTGTTTGTTTTAAACACCTTTGACAACCAAATAGGAATTTATGGGGAGAAGGTGGTAAGAGGTGGCCTAAATAATGTATACACATGTGGGTAAATATAAAAACAATTAGAAAAAAAATAGGAATTTATAAGCAATAAGTTTTACTCCGTGGAATTCTGATTGTTTTGTGTATTTAAGCCTGGGCATGTTTTCCATATGCATAAAGGTAAGGTGATTAATATAATGTAACAGCACCTGGCATTTCAATACCTGGCACTTGGCAGGATGATTTCAACAATGTTAGTATTACACATATTTATGTATTTTGAAACTTCCTCATCCTCTCACTTTTCCTTCAACTTTAAAAAATATATATATTCGTTAAACAAATTTATCCATCCCTTGGTAAAGCATCTGATGTACTTTTTAAAAAACAGTACAAAGCTTATATATTTCTCATTTGTGTGGCAAAAGTGAGCTTTCCTGTGATTCAGTAGTCTTCTACAGAAGGAAAAAAGAAAATTCCAACCAGGCATAGTGGTGCACACCTGTAACTCCAACACTCAGGAGGTGGATACAGGACGATTTCAGGTTTGAGGCCAGTTTGGGCTACCAAGCAAGACCCTGTCCGTTCTCCCTCTTCCACACCCCAAAACAGAAAGTTTCTCATTTCCATACTCTGCTCAAACTTTTACTTGGAAGGAATAATGCTACTATTGATAATACAAATAGGAACTACCTCTGCTATTAGTTTAGACATATTTTTTTAAGCTTTTATAGGTTCTTTAACTTATTTGGTATAATTAATATTTGGGGAATATTTTAAGACAAAAATAAAACTATTACCTTCACCAAATGCGGCTTCACCAAGGTTACTACTGATGTATATCGTTCTAACACAGGTGGAAACCCAATTTCTAATCGAGTTTTACAATATCCAGATCTCTTTGATATTACATCTGATTTCTTGCACCAAGGAACGAAATGCTTGTAATCCTCCATTCCTGACACTACATCATACATTTCCTGCATCGAATATCTTCAGGAAAAAAAAAAAGAGAGAAAGATGAGTTGTTTGATGAGGTATGTACTGTAAATAAGAGTATGAATAAGACTAATTCATAAATCATTTGGCACCCATATTGAACCACATGCTGTAATGAACAACTTCAAAGCAATAAGAAAAAGAGCTCTAACAAACATATATCCCAGAGATCAGAATTTAGAAGCCCATAAGCTGGACCAGATCTGCAGATGTTTTCAATTTTTAATTACTTGTCAGCATTTTAAAATTGAGTTTCCCCCAGTACCAGCAAAAAAAAAAAGAGAGAGAGAGAGAGAGAGAGAGAGAGAGAGAGACTTTATTTAGGTGTGGTGCTGCTGTAATCCCAGCACTGGGGAGGCTGAGATAGGAGGATCCAGAGTTTAAGGCCAGTCTGGGCTAAATAGCAAGACCTTGTCTCAAAAAAAAAAAAAAAAAAAAATGAAAGTTCATAGAAAAAAACTTTAAAAATGGACAGAATGCCAGTGAGCTGGTGTATGTTTTGTAGTCCCATTTATGCCAAAGTCTGAGGAAGGAAGATAACCTGAGCCCATAGGTTAAGACACCAGCTTGGGCAATATTAACAAGACCCTATCTCAAAACAAAACAAAATAAAAAACCCTGAAATATATGCTATATGCCCACATTGTAAGAATTGGGTTGAGGGCTGGGGACATCAAGGCTCAAGTGGTAGAACACCAACCTAGCAAGCTTGAGGCCCTGAGTTCAATCAGACATAACCCACAAGAATTGAGTTGTTTAGCAATTCCTTACTTGGACCTATGAATTTCACTTTTGATAATTTATGATTCAAAAATACTTTCATAATGTACAAAAGATTCACTTCAGGGCTAAAAGTGTGGCTTGAATGTTAGAGAATACTCACAAAGCTCTGAGTTCAAACCCCAGTACTATCGTAAAAAAAAATTATATACACTGTCTTAAAAAATTATTTTAGAAGTGTGTGAACTTTAGAATATTCTTGAAAACATAAAACACACACATATACAGGAACAGAGACCCTATCTTGAAAAAACACATCACAAAAAAGGGCTGGTGGAATGGAGTGACTCAAGTGGTGGAGGGCTGCCTAGCAAGTATTAGGCTCTGAGTTCAAATTCCAGTACAGTTTAAAAAAAGGAAAAGAAGTTTATAGTATACATTTAAAGCACATTTCAAAGCAGAATATGTAAGGCTGAAAGAAAAAGTGTAAGTACACATCTTATGTTCTCAATTTTAAACTTATTTGATATTTATTTTCTCTTGAAAATAATTACTGTAAATAGACTGTCCGTAATAAAATACATTATTTTGGCAGTACTAGGGTTTGAACTGAGGCAAGTGCCTCCAGCCCATGAAAATGCCACTTTAAAGTCCTGGAAGTTTCAAGTAGGTTGAAATACTTAAATGTCTTTTGAAATCTCAAACAAAAAAGTCCTGGAAGGATATAGATTAAACAATTAATAGCCAGGTGCCAGTGCTCAAGACTATAATCCTAGCTACTCAGGGGGCAGAGCTCAAGAGGATCACAATTCAAAACCAGCCCAGGCAAATAGTTCCTGAGATCCTATCTCAAAAATACCCAGCATGGGCTGAAGGCATGGATCAAGTGGTAGAGTACCAGCCTAGTAAGTGCAAGGTCCTGAGTTCTAACCCTACTACTGCAAAAAAAACCCAAAAACCAAAAAACATATATATATATGTACACACACACACATACATATATTTATACATACATACATACATACACATAATCAAATACTGGCAGGCAGAGTGGCTAAAGTGGTAGAATGCCTGCCTAGTGAGCATGAAGTCCTGAATTCAAACCCTAGTACCACTAAACAAACAAAAAAAAAAATCAAAAAACCCACCAAAAAAAAAAAAAATAGTTGCTAACTCAGGGTCTTCCCTTGGGAGACAGTTTCCCTACATTTTCCAGGCTGGCCTCAATCTCAGGCTGGTCTCAAACTCATGATCTTCCTGCCTCAGCCTCAGGAGTACCTGGGATTAGTCATGTGCTACCATTCCTGGCATGTGAAAATTTGAAAGATAAAATAAAATAACCTATTCTAGAAGACAACAGAAAGAAACCTACTCTTTTTATAAGCCAGCATGACATTCTGACAACCAAAATCTGATAAAAGAACATAAAACACAAAAGCTATATAAAGTACTGGGGCAAAAATTTTAAGACAGTATCAGCAAACAGAATCCAGCAATATATTAAAAAAGTCAAATGCAACTCATTTAGGCATATATGGATGGCTTAACACTAAGAATTTTATTATTATAACTGTATAAAATGGCAAAAAAAGGAAAAACTGTGATTCCCTCTTTGGATGATAAAAATACCAGAAGCTTTCCCATTAGAGTAAGAATACAGAGATGCTCCTATGTTACATAACAGTGTGCTGAAAGTACTAAAATCAGAGCATGAAACATGAAGCATATGTGCTGAGAGAACCAGCCAAATTTACTGATTGGCAGGTGATGTGAACTGTCAATCCATAAGAATCAATTAAGAATTCAGTAAGGTAGCCTGGTGCCAGTGGCTCATGCCTATAATCCTAGCTACTCAGGAGGCAGAGAGCAGGAGAATCGTGGTTCTAAGTCAGCCAGGGCAAATAGTTCTCGAGACCCAATCTTGAAAAAAACCCATGACAAAAAAGGCCTGGTGGAATGGCTCAAGGTGAAGGCCCTGAGTTAAATCCCAATACTAAAAAAAAAGAATTCAGTAAGGTGGTCTACTATGAAATATATAAAAATCAATACCTCTCCTATACGAACAAGAGCCAGATAGAAAACAATAACACAGAAATGCAAAATACCTAGAAATAAATTCATCAAACAACTTCAGAGTTTAAATGAATAAACAAACAGCAACAAAACTCCTGGATATATATAAAAGACAAATTGAATACTGAGAGCTAGATATGATTCTTTGTTACAAAGATGGAACAGTTAAAATATGATTCACCACAAAATTACATAGGAATTGAAATAATCCCAACCTAAATTACAAATGGGTATTTTTAGTATATGACAGAACTCGAACCTTCATGTATGTTTTAATCTTTATAATCATGACAAGAACAATGAACAAAAATGAAGGTCATATACAAATTATTTCCTTTACATGTTAAGGTTTCAACCTATCCTATGCAGTTACCATAGAGTTATATGTATTCAATAAATATTTATAGAATAGCAAAGGCTATGGAAAAGGCCAACCTAGAAAAAGCAGTTTATTCTGTAAGGACACGTTCTAGAAAGAGGCACAATACTCTGCAGAAAACTGAATGTGCTAATCTTTTTATAGAACTATTATTATATACAAACCCTATAATTCTTCTCTCTGAATACTCTTTTCTTTTGTTTATTAATGGTGCAGTGATTTTGAAGAAAGTTCTTCCACCTATCTCTTTAGGCAAAATTGAAGTTTGTAGTGGAAGAGTCCTGCTCATCAGTATACCACAGGAAGCTAAATATCTAAAAAGACAAAAATTAGATTTAGAGTGACAGTGAAAACTAAGAGGTAGCACAAACTATAGAGATTATTTAAAACTATTATATTTTAGAGCTGGAGTTATAGTTCAAGTGGTAGAGCTCTTGCCTACCAAGTGCAATGCCCTTAGTTCAAATTCCAATACTGCCAAAAAAAATTAAAAAGAAATTGGTAACAAATGTAATTATAGACACTATCTTTTAAAAAAAAAGTGTAATATTTTAGAAGTGTTAACTTTATAATTTGTTTTTGTGGTACGAGGGTTTGAACTCAGAATCTATACCTTGAACCACTCTACCAGCCCTTTTCTTGTGATGGATTTTTTTGATAGGGTTTCTCGAACTATTTGCCAGGGCTGGTTGCCTGATTCTCCTGATCTCTTTCTCCTGAGTAGCTAGGATTACAGGTGTGAACCACTGGCACTTGGCATGAACTTTATAATATTCTTGAAAACACAAGCACATGCATACACAGGCATAGATACCAAAAACTGGGGCTGGGAACAAGGGTCAAGCAGTAGAATGCCTGCCTAGCAAGCAGAAGGCCCTGAGTTCAAAACCTCTTACTGTCAAAAAACAAACCCTCCCCCAAAAAACTCAAAAAAAAAAAAAAAAAAAGAAAATTAGTTTACAGTTAGGTTAACAGCTTCTGGCACTGTATCAAATTTGTAAGGTCTTATCTACATGTGTCTAATTACAGAAACTAACAAAATAGTCTCTAAATAATAAAAAAAGGAAGCCCCCTGAAGTTATGTTTCAGCTAACTTATAAAAAGAGTTAGCCAGCAAAGAGGTCAGGTATATACATAATAAATATGTGTATACACATGAATGCAAAGAAATAGGTTTGTTCATATGTATAAATAATGGGGAAGCCAGATGCTAGTGGCATACTCTTGCAATTCTAGCTACTTGGGAGGCTGTGATTGGGAGGCTCTCTCAGTTTAAGGATAGCCCGAAAAAACAGTTCTTGAGACCTATCTCCAAAATACATAGAGCAAAATGGACTGGAGGTGTGGCTAAAGTGGTAGTGTCTGCTTTGCAAATGTTAAACCCTCAGTTCAAACCCCAGACCCACCAAGAAAAAAAAATGGGGGTGATACATAGTGGGCATTCTAGGTGGTAGGGAAAAAATTTGGCAGTGCCCAGAGACAAGAAAAGACTAACAATACAGCAGCAGTATAGCAAGCCAGAAGGAGTACCAGGAAATAATGTTGGAAATAAGAGCAGAACTGTGTTGGGTATTGTTGGGGGCAGAATTAAGCAATCTGAAATTTATTCTCAAGAGAAAGCTACTGAAGAGGAGTCTTCAGTAAGAGTAACTACTCTTACTCCAAGTAAGAGTAATTGTTTTTTGTGGGACTGGGGTTTGAACTTAAGAGTTTCAGGCTTGCAAAGCAGGGAGTCTACCATTTGAGCCACACCTCCAGTCCATTTTTTTCTGGTTATTTTGGTGATGGGATCTCATGAACTATTTGCCCAGGCTGGCCTGTAACTGCAATCCTCTCAAGCTCAGTCTCCCAAGTAGCTAGCATTACAGCTAGGATAATATATATGTATGTATAAAGGAAAAATACTAAACAACAAAAACACAAAAATCAAGTCTTCCAGTTATTTTTTAAGGTTGGTGGAGTGGCTCAAGTGGTAGCAAATGTGAGGACCTGAGAACAAAAACACAAAAATCAAGTCTTCCAGTTATTTTTTAAGGTTGGTGGAGTGGCTCAAGTGGTAGCAAATGTGAGGACCTGAGTTCAAACCTCAGTACTGCAAAAAAGCAAAACAAACAAACAAAAACCTAGGATCTCTGTTAGCTAGATCGATCACAAAAACTAAATTTAAGCTGGTCAGGTTGTACAAAAGCTATATACTTACGTCACCTATAAATACTTTGGCAAAAAGTCTAAGACAGTATCAGCAAATAGAACGCAGCAATATATTTAAAAAGTCAAATGCAACTCATTTAGGCATATACAGATGGCTAAATACTAAGAATTTTATTATTATAACCACATAAAATGGCATAAGACAACAACAAAAATGGTTTCTGTTATGTGAAATGAGTCTGTTGTGATTTTTTAGAGTATACCTACCTATTGAATTTGCTCAAAACTGGGACTAAAACAATAAAAGTGAGTAACAACTACTCTCGTAAATGAAGCAGAACAGTGAAAATAACTAGGCAGTTATTTTAGCTTCTCCCTTATAAAAGGTGTCACATGTAAAAAGAAACAAAAAAACTAGGATCTTTCTTACCTAGACTGATCACAAAAACTAAATTTGATCTGGGTAGGTTGCAGGAGGAGAATCTGAGGCAGAAACTTAGCCAGACCCCGAAGGGGAAAAAAAGAAGAAAAACTGAATTTGGTGTATAAAATGCACAGCTATCCACTTTTCTTCTAAAACATTTTTTAGATATCTTTACCTGCCCTCTTTTTGTACTCCATAGATGCCTTGCTACCTATTATTGGAGGCTAATAGCGTGCCGGATACTGTGGACAGCTATGAACAGTTTTCTTGATAAAGATGAGAAACGGCAGCTTTCTGTGGGACAAGCTTATTTTGCAAAAATAATAGCTGGGCACCAGCTGTTCACACCTGTAATCTTAGCTACACAGGAGGCAGAGATCAGGAGAATCCTGGTTCTTTGAAGCCAATTGGGCACACAGTTCCAGAGACCCTATCTAGAAAATATCTAACAAAAAAAAGGGCTGTGGAGTGGCTCAAGGTGTAGGCCCTGAGTTCAAACTCCAGAGCCGCAAAATAATAATAATAATTAATAATAATAACAGGGCTAGTTATGTAGCTCAGTGGTAGAAACACTTGCCTAGACCCTGGGTTCCGTTACCACCACCATCAAAAATAAAAAGACTCTTGCTTCTCAAAGAGATGAATTGGGTATAAGTTGGCTAAGAAGCTTACTGTTCATTGTATATGGTTTTCTATCAGATTCATGTATTAGTTTCCCAAGCATTCCAAAAGATATCCTTACGCAAATCTGATTATAATCTTAAGGAAACTTTATGTGCTTGTTTAAAGCAAACTAACAGATTTCTTTTTCTTTTTTAACAGAGTTTTTGTTTTTGTTTTTTGCAGTACTACAATTTTGAACTCAGGGCCTACACCTTGAGCCACTCCACCAGCTGTTTTTTTGTGCCGGGTTTTTTTGTGATAGGGTGTCCTGAACTATTTGCCTGGGTTGGCTCCTGAGAAGCTAGGATTACAGGCGTGAGCCACCAGCGCCCAGCCTAACAGATTTCTTGATGCAGTTGTTACAGTGTTCAGGACAACACATCTATTTTTCACACACTATAAATTATAATAAGGGCTGGGATATACAGCTCAGTGGTAAGAGCATGTGCTTAACATGTGTAAGGTTCTGAGGTGGATTCCAGTACCAAAACAAAAACAAAAAACCCAACGGGTTCAACTGCAATATAAGACTCATACAGTTAAACCATAAGATGAGCTGGGTGCCAGTGGCTCACACCTGTAATTCCAGCTACTCAGGAAGCAGAGATCAGGAGGATCTCAGTTCAGAGGCAGCCCTGGGCAAACAGTTCATGAGACTCTATCTCGAAAATACCCAAAGCAAAAAAGGGCTGTCGAAGTGGCTCAAGTGGTAGAGTGCCTGCTTAGCAATCATGAGTCCCTGAATTCAAACCCCAGTGCCACAAAAAAAAACCATGAGATGAAATCTGCACCACATGGAGGACATTTTTGTTTTAATCACTAGTATCACACTGCTACTCTCTCAAATACTCTCTACTATTTCTTAAAAAGGCCAAGAATCTACATCAATGTTTAACTGCAAATCAACTTTTTGATTTGTTTTTGAGATGTGGTCTTGCAATGTTGTCCGGCTGGTCTAGAATTTCTGGGCTTAACTGATCCTCCTGCCTCAGCTTCTCCAGTACCTGGGACAACAGGCAGCAAATCAACATTTAACGAGAGTAATAAAAGCAGATCTAAAATATAATGGGGTTGTATTCTTCTCGGAACTGCTCTGTTGTTGAACAGAGGTTGTTCAACAGAGAGGCTGAACTCAGGGCCTAGTGCTTGCTAGGCAGATGCTCCACCTCTTGAGCCACACACCCAGCTCTTTTTGCCTCGGTTATTTTCGAGACAGGGTCTCCTTCTGCCATGGCTGCCTGGACAGGGATCCTGCTCTTTGTGTTTCCCCAGAGTATCAGGCCATTGGTTAAAATGGAACCCTCTGAACTTTTCACTGGAACCGCTATCCTGCAAATCTCTGCGGTGGGAGTAGCTACTAGGATTACAGGCTTCAGCCACCGTGCCCACCAGGTTTGGAGTTCCTTTTTGAGGTTATGTCCTAAAGCAAGAGTAAATGGTACCTATATTTCGTTTTTACCCAGTATTTCTCTAAGAGGATTTGAAGGTGGACGCTTCAAAATTCCCCGGTACACGTACGAATTCATCTTAAATTTCAAGAATAACTTATGACAGTGTTATTCGTAAAAGGAAACCACGTAGTAAAAGTATGATATCCTTTGCCTTCACTTCATCTCCACTCCCATCTCTCCAAGGAACCAACCAGGAAAAGGAAGACAGCCGGTTTCAAAGTTTCAGGACCTCTAAGTTACAGTGGGGTGAATAAAATTCAGGTCCTCTTTGTTGGCTATGTTTGGTTTTGCAAGCAGCAAATGGCCGGGGCAGATAAGTCCACCAGGCACACACGAGGACCGGAGGAGGCTCAGAGACCACAACCTCGCGCGCCCCCGCAGCCGGCAGCTTTTCCGGAGCATCGCGCCCCCGGGAGGAGACCGGAAGCGCCCGTCGCCGCTGGCGGAGCTGCTTTATCAGCTGCTCGCAAAGTGGCTTCGACGACGGTTTCCCACCTCTCGCGAGAGCGGCGACCGCCCAGCGGGTCAGCCAGACACCGGCCCCGGCGATGCGTCGGCGCCTGGGTCCCCGGATGCCAACGTGAGCCCAGGGTCCGGCTCCCCTTCACTGTAAATCCTCCCTGTTCCGCCATTAAGCTGGCGCGGGCAGAATACTACTCTCGTCTGCGCTCCCTTTTATTACCTGGCCGTTCTCGCAGGCGCCAGCGCCGAGGTGCCGGCCGCTGACGCAGACTTCGGATGGCATGCGGAGACCACCCTTATGAGCGCCCTCTGGCCCGTCCGAGTTGCCATGTTCATTTCTTGGAAGCCGGTAGCCCAGTCTGGGATCAGTCCCGCGGCGCCGCCCTGAGGCCGGGCCGGGCTGGCCGGCTCCGACGCTTTCCAACCAATCGGCTGGCCCCGTCAACAACCAGACACGCCCTTTCTTCCTCTCCGATTGCGTCAAACCGACGCACGATCCCTGCGTCCTAAAGCCAGCAGAAACTGCCTCCTTCTCGAGCCAGCCAATCAGAAGGGCGCAGGGTCTGCCCCCCCCCCACACAAACATACGCGCACACGCACACGCGCATGCGCACACACACGCACACACACCACACACAGGGTCTGCAACACACACACACACACACACACACACACACACACACACACACACACACACACACACACACACACACACACACACACACACACACACACACACACACACACACACACACACACACTCTCTCTCTCTCTCTCTCTCTCTCTCTCTCTCTCTCTCTCTCTCTCTCTCTCTCTCTCTCTCTCTCTCTCTCTCCGGCTCTGAGCACGCGCTTGCGCATCTTTGCAGTAATCAACGACTACGGCTCGCCCCCCCTTCCCGCTGGGAGCGGGGTACCCCAGATTGGACCACTGCAGCAGTTTCCTTAGGAAGCTGCTTCGGGTGGCGAGGCCCCGACACGTGAGCCCCGCCCCGGGGCCCAAGGAAAACCCGGGATCTGATTAATTATGTAACTGTCCGACCTCGTGAGTGCTGAGTCCGACAAGCCGTCGCTCTGACTGTCAAGACTGGCTCCTTAATGAGTGTCTTACCCCATGGGTGTTGAGAGGGAAACTTAAGGTCATGCCCTCAGGGAAGAGGCTCAGTTGCCTAACAGCGCTAATGTCTGCATTCTTTCAGCAGGCCAGCGTTTTATTCGGTGTTAATGATTTGGTTTTCCTTATTCCATTCAAAAGGACAGCCTTGATTCATTTCAGGAATTAAGTCTCCATTTCTCATTTATTTCAAGGTCCTTATTTAACCTTTGTAGGCCATAACTTCCTGCTAACTATAAAGTGAGAATAGCAATACTAGCTATTTAATACAGTTTTGAGGAGTAAGTGAGATTGTTAGGGCCTAGCTTGACCTTAGGCAGTCAGGATTGGGGGCTAGAAAGTGGCTGGCTGAAATCACCAGAAATGACAAGTAAGGCAAGAGCAAAGACAGCAGGATGTGGGCTCAGACAGCACTCCCCTTGAATGTGTCACCAGAATGTGGGCCCAGGTGCAAAAGGGGGATAAGAACAGTTAAAAGTTTGTCAAACAACTTTTGGGAGAGAGGATAAGGGGGGAAAAAAGTGAGTCAAGACCTTGTAACAAAACTAAGACTAACATCAGAAAGCTGTTTCCAGGGGCTTGCTAACCTTATCCTAAGAACCAGATAAAAACTATAGATGTCGCAGCTGTGATGGCTCAGTCTTTCTGAGTCCCATCGGGTGCTCTGTAATTCAATAAGCTTTCTCTTGCTTGCTATTCACCCACTGTCTGGGCTTGCCATTGTTGGACTGACCTGGGACAAGGACCTGACCCCAACAAGCTTAACCCATGTGGCATCGCAACCAGTCATTCTGGTGTCAAGGTTTCTTGACTAATTTGGACATATATATTTGGAGGGAATATACTAGGAGCCGGAGAAGTGAATGAGTCCTGTCATAGAGCTTATATTCTAACAAGAGAATGTAGGCAGTATCACATACTCTAAGGTATATAAGTATATGTTGTTGACTAACTGTGGCTCAAGCAGTAGAGTGCCTGCTTTGCAAGCGTGAAGACCTGAGTTAAAACCCCAGACTCACCAAAGGAAAAAAAATGTTGTATTATCTAATTTTGTGTTAGCATACAATAAAATGTCAAGTAATTATATGTCCTATAGAATGAAAAAATGAAGCAGGAGATGGGTGATGTTGTGTATGCTTGTAATCCCAGCAGTAGGGAGGCTGAGACAGGAAGATTGAGTTAGGCTGGCCAGCCTGTGCTACATAGTGAGATCCCATCTATAAATAAATAAAGCATGATACATGATGGACATGGAGGGGTACAGCGGATTGCTGTTTTGAGATAGGGTCTTACTCTTGCCCAGGCTAGCCTTAAAATTCTGAGCTTAAGGGATCCTCCTGCCTCACCCTCTAAGGAACTACCACTATTGGCTTGAGATTGCTGTTTTACATAGGTGATTCAGGTAGGCCTCAGAATGTGATACTGAATACAAGCCTAAAAATGAACTGAGGAAGTGATTTTGACAACTTGAAACTGGCCCCTGTGCCACCAAAAAAAAAAAAAAAAGGGGAAACTGCCTTCAGGTGTGTGGAACAGCATGTGCAAAGGCTCCAACAGGAACAATCTTGCTATACTTTAGGTAGATCAAGGGTTTGAAGCCCATTGAGAGGTGGAAAGTGGTGGGAAGTAGTAGGAAATGAGGCCAGAGGTGGGGGGGGGCAGGGGGCTTATCATAGTACCTAGACATAGATAGTACCAAACAATCCTAGAATTCTCTTTTAGCTGCTCCCTGCAGCTAAACATACTAGGCCACACACAGACTTGCTTCTTGATCCTCCATGAGGACCATGGTGTTAACTATACCATCTAGATCCTAGAGGGTCCTGTTTCCTATCCCTTCTCCCATCTCTATCCTTTTTACCTGGCTGCTTCCTTCTTTCTCATCCCATAAGAATAACATAGTGTTACCCTATCATTGTCATACTTGGACTGCGGCTTAACTCAGTGATAGAAGCACTTGAGACTAGGTGATTTATAAAGGCAAGAGGTTTATTTGGCTTCTGATCCCGGAAGCTGGAAAGTTGAAATAGCATGCCATTAATGTCTGGTGAGGGACCATGACTGTGTCATAATATGACAGAGAAGCTGGGAAGAAGTCACACTGAGAGAGAAGAAGCAAGGCCAGGGAGGGGGCCAGGCTTGCTATTTTTTTATTATTCATATGTGCATACAAGGCTTGGGTCATTTCTCCCCCTGCCCCCTTACCACCCACTCCGCCCCCTCCCTCTTCCCCCCACCCCCTCAATACCCAGCAGAAACTATTTTGCCCTTATCTCTAATTTTGTTGAAGAGAGAGTACAAGCAATAATAGGAAGGAACAAGTGTTTTTGCTGGTTGAGATAAGGATAGCTATACAGGGAGTTGACTCACATTGATTTCCTGTGTGTGTGTGTTACCTTCTAGGTTAATTCTTTTTGATCTAACCTTTTCTTTTTGTTTTTTTGAGACAAGTTCTCACTGTGGCCTAGGCTGGCCTTGACCTCCTGCCTCAGTCTCCTGAGTGCTGGGATTACAGGCATATACTACTATGCTCAGCTTAAATATGATTTTTAGATCTGGATCACTTGCCATCTAGTTGGCAATAGTAGGTGAAGTTAAAAGCTCCTGAGATATTAGAGAAAGACAGTGAAATACTGGGAGTGATTAATCTCCAATTAAAGGTTAAGTGTAAATGATATAGGACATCCTTGGAAAAATATAGAATCTCATAGAATCTCATCCCCTTTATCTAGAGAGCAGAAAAGGCTGATGGTCAGGTCCAGGACTTAAAAGTAGTACAATCTGGACTGGAGATGTGGCTCATGCATCAAGCAGTAGAGCACTTGCTTTGGAAGCATGAAGTTCTGAGTTCAAACCCCTTACTGACCAAAAAAAAAAAATAGTATAGTTCTAGAAGTGGGAAAAATTTTCATCTTCAGCAAATACATTACATAAAAAGAGTGCCTTGATTGGGAAAGAAAAAGGACATGGACATCTGGGTTGGTACACTTAAAAGACTCGAAGGAGAATGATGGTAGGGGTGAACTTAAGCAAGGTACATTGTAAGCATACATGGAAATGTCATAATGAAGTCCCCTGTGCAACTAATATATGCTAACAAACATGATAAAAAGAAACTTGAAATCCTAGATTCCTCTGAATGCTTCAGAAATGGCCTAATCATTCTTGGTAAGAAGCTGGTGTTCCTCCTTTGCTTGAAGATACAGGAACCTGTCTTTTAAGATAACATATGTCCCATAAAGGAATTTCTCCCACCTTCCTTCCATGGCACCAGATTGGCAACTGGGAAGTCCTATGCTTGCTGAGGTAAGAAAGAAATATGTTAAAGAAGGTGAAAGACCAGCCAGCAAGTATCAGGAGCTGGACGAGAACATAAAGAACTAAATTCTGAGGGTCCTGGGTCAGGAGCAGGGGTCAGTTATAGCATAACATTGAATAGGGAGGATTTATCAATAGGGGATCCCTATCTTATGATATGGAATACCCTACAAGGATTTGGGAGACAGTGCTAGCATTCTACTAAAACTGCTCTTAGGCTGGTAGAGAGGCTCAAGTGGTAGAGTGCCTGCCTAGCAAGTATGAGGCCCTGAGTTCAAATCCCAGTACTGCCAAAAAAATGAAAAAATAAAGGTAGCCAACTGCCTGGGGAGACTAGAAAAGTCTTCATATAGGCTGGGCACCAGTGGCTCACACCTGTAATCCTAACTACTCAGGAGGCAGAGATCAGGAGGATCTCAGTTCATAGTTTTAGAGACCCAATCTCGAAAAAAGACCATCACTATAAAAGGACTGGGCAGAGTGGCCCAAGGTGTAGGCTCTGATTTCAAACCACAGTAACACAAAAACTGCTCTTAGAAACTTGGAGATGGCAACTTTAATAATAACGGCAGAACTACTGTGGAAGATGGTGAAAGAAGAAATCAAAAGGCTGAGAGAATGGACATGCTAGAGTAGATAGTCTATGGTAAAGCCAGAACACGTTAACAGATGACTGTACTACTTGTGGAGGCCCAAAGAACACTGTGGTCTAAAGTCATAAGGAATTCAAACAAGAGAGATACCAGTATTACTGAACAGAATCAAAACTAGGTAAAGTGGTCAGTTGCCAAAAAGCTCAAGATAAATAATATATTGGCTGGCAGAGTGGCTCAAGTGTTAGAGCATGTGCCTTGGCAAATGTGATAGTCCTGAGTTCAAACCCCAGTACCACCAAAAAGATAAGTAGTATTGTAGTGTGATATTTAAAGTTAATGCAGAAATAGTCAAGATGAACA